GCTTCTCCATCTTTGGCTGCAGAGAATATAATCAATCTGATTTCGATATTGCCCATCTGGTGATGTCCATGTGTAGAGTCGCCTCTTGTGTTGTTGGAAAAGTGTGTTTGTGATTACCATCTTGTTCTCTTGACAAAACTCTATTAGCCTTTGCCCTGCTTCATTCTGAACTCCAAGGCCAAACTTCCCTGTTGTTCCTTTTATCTCTTGGCTCCCTACTTTAGCATTCCAGTCCCCTGTAATGAGCAGAACATCTTTCTTTGGTATAAGTTCTAAAAGGTGTTGTAAGTCTTTATAGAATTGGTAGATATGATAATCGTCTGAATTGAATTTGCCCATTCCTGTCCATTTTAGTTTACTGATGCCCAGGATGTCAGTGTTTATTCTTGCCATCTCCTGTTTGACCACATCCAGCTTAACAAGTTTCATAGATCTTACATTCCAGGTTCCTATGCATTATTATTTTTTCTTTGCAGCATTGGACTTTCCTTTCACTTCCAGGCACGTCCGCAGCTGAGCATCCTTTCGACTTTGGCCCAACCACTTCATTAGCTCTGGAGCTACTTGTACTTGTCCTCCGCTCTTCCTCAGTAGCATGTTGGACACCTTCTGACCTGAGGTGCTAATCTTCTGGCGTCATATCTTTTAGGCTTTTCGTTGCTGTCCATGGAGTTTTCCTGGCAAAGATACTGGAGTGACTTGCCAGTTTCTGCTCCAGGTGGATTGCGTTTAGTCAGAACTCTTCACTGTGACCTGTCTGTCTTGGGTGTCCCTGCACAGCATAGCCCATAGCTTCTCTGAATTACTCAAGCCCCTTCCCCACAAGGCTGCAATCCATGAAGGGGAGATTATGGTATAGTCCTTGCTAATAAGAAAGTCCTGGGACTTAGACCCTGCAAGCCCTGGCTCTACTACACCATCAGTGAGGCTGTGCTTTTATCTTTCCAGCTATTTGTTCAAATACTAATAGGTTCTAATACTCATGTTTTACAACCCATATAAATGATGTCAAAATGGCCTTGAAGAATAGTTTTTAAAAAAATATATAAATGTTGCATGGTTTTTTTAAAGGCAGGTTTTTCTACATGGTCATCTAGGTAGAGAGTCTACAAAGTTGTAGAAGGGGTAGCCCTGTTAGTCTGTGCAAGCATTATAGATGAAAACAAAATAAAAAAAGTAAATATAAAAATTAGTCTTTAAGGTGCCATCACGTTTTTGACTTTTTTGGTACTTTTTAAAATTTTATTTTCACCTATAAAATAGTGTGCAACCTGAAAGTAAACCTTTGGGGCAGCTTCTAAATAAACACACACGGGGAGGATCAGGCTTTGATACGCAGATGTCAGGCGGTAGGTCCCCAAACAACTCCTTGTGGGTGAGACGGGAAAAGGCATTTTAATATATGGAGCGTTATTCTTTTCGTCGTGGAAAAGTTACTTTGCCGCTGCTCCCTGGGAAATGCTTTGATTTGTAGTCCAGGAAAGTAACTTTTGCCCGCTTTTGGTGGACTTGTGAGTAAACCTTTTTCTAAACAACTGGTAAAGCGATACAGTGTTCCTTTTCGTTTTGAAACGAAACTACTAACGGGATTGCCAGCTCAAGCTTTTAAGTTACTCAGGCACATCACGTGACAGGGACACTCTGCCCTACACGCCCCGCCCCTTACTTGGGGTACGTTCTCTTCCCGTTCCCTCAGGCCTGGCACTAGGCTAGAGCGACGGACGGAGACCTTTGTGCGCCTGCGTAAACTTCCCTGGCCCTTTTTTTTTTTGCTACCTTGCGTTTGGTTGGTGGAAAGCGACCGGGCGTGAGCGGAAGAGGCGGGCCTTGAGGGACCGGGTCTCCCGGGTGACAGCAAGGTGGAGCTGACGAGGGCCTATGAGGGAAGAAGCTATGGCAGAGGCCACGGGAACGGGTGAGCCGGAGGCCCCGTCCGCCTTCGAATGAAGGGAGCTCGCCGTCGCCGAGGGAAGCGGCTCCCCCTCGGCTTGGGCCGCGTCGCTTTCACCCCGCTCCGCCCGAGACCAGGTGAGCGCGAGAGAGGCGCGGCTGGTCCGGGAGTCGGAGCGGAGCTTGGGAGCCTTTCCCTGGGTGCCCGCCTCGGGAGATGGGGGGTGGGAAAGGGCTGAGGCTATGTTTCCTCCTCCTCGTGAGAAGACCCGTTGGGCGGCCAGCCAGGGCTCCGCGCTCCTCTCCACTGGCGGCCTTTCTGAGTGTCTCTCTGTGCTCGCTTCTGCCCCACCTCTCTGAGCAGCGCTGAGCCCCGTTGCTTCCGCCTCATCTTTGGCCCTCGGTCAATGGCATAGCGTCGGCCTGCCTCACAGGGTTGTTGTGGTTGTAGTAATAGGTGTTCGTCGATGAGTTGGATGAGAACGGGGAGCCACCCGGAACTAAGCACTTGCAACCACTCTTAGTAATTTTTGATGATGCTTGTATTATTATCTATATTTCTTATCCAGTTAGGGTATGGTAGGTATGTCTGGTTCTGCTCATCCACATGTTAACCTCAAATAAGATGTAGGTCAGACCGAAAGAGAGCCTGCAACTGGCCCAGGGTCATTTAGTGAGTTTCACAGCTCTTTGTGGTTAGAAACTGGATGTGCCACGTCTCTGTTGAATACTCAACAGTTTGGCCGTTTTCTTCTCTGTTTGTTGCCTCAGATCAGACCCTCCTGAGGTGCACTTTGATAGTGACACTTGATTGTAGCTATGTACCGTGTTTTCCCCAAAATAAGCCAGGGTCTTATATTAATTTTTGCTCCAAAAACGCATTAGCGCTGATTTTCAGGGGATGTTTTATTTTTATTCTTTTCATGTACAACAATCTACATTCATTCAAATACAGTCATGTCATCTTCTTCTGGTTGCTGCACAATGGTGGAAGGCGGGCTTCACTTAACTAGGGCTTATTTTGGGGGTAGGGCTTATATTACGAGCATCCTGAAAAGTCATACTAGGTCTTATTTTCAGGTTAGGTCTTATTTTCAGGGAAACAGGGATTCTCCTTAAATGTCGTTATGGTGTATGGACTCAATCATTACAATTCACATACTGTACTACAATTTAGGGCTACAATATTAGTCAGGAACACTGGTCAGGAGTTTGAATCTCCACTTTGGTTTGTTCCTCATGGTTAGCCTTGGGCAAGCTGAACAAGGGGAGGGGGCCCCCTAAGACCATTAGGACCATGGCTGATATGGTTAATTGCCTTACCTCATGGTTAGCCTTGGGCAAGCTGAACAGTCCTAGAGTCACACCTAAAGCAGGGAATGTAAACCACTTCTGAGTATTTTTTGCCTAGAAAGCTGTGGTGGTGGGTTGCTATAAGTCACATTTGATTAGACAGTACATTGCTGTTGTTATTGTAGATGCCTTGAAGAAAACGTCCAGGGTAAGCCAGCTGATGGATACTGTACAAAGCTTGTTTCTAGGCCCACAGAGTTTAAGACTTGATGGGCAGTAGATACTGCTTTGGGAATCATTTATATAGCTAGCTTATGTGCTTTTCATATTTGGAGAAAAAGCTTCTTGGCTGTAAACTTTGCCACTTGTTAGATCATACTGTGGACAAGTCTAGCTTGCAGTAGCTGGTGATGATATTGATTCAACATCACCACAAATGTACTGGCCTAGTTTCTAATAAGCCAGCCTTTACAGTCTGCTCCAGATGCCTTTACCTTTCTCCCATCTATATCATAGTAGTACTGCTATACTATATTTTAATAAAAGTTCTGCTATGAAATGGGCTTTCAGATCAAGTCATCACAGACATTAGAATCTTAACTGCAATGTTGCAAAATAAATAAATGTTGTTTACAGCCAAGTCCTATGCACTTTTACTTAGAAGGAAGGTTCCACTGGATTCAGTGGAGTTTAGTTTACTTAAACAGAATTACAACTTTAGGAATTCGCCCCTCAAGTATTAGTCTTATAATTCTAGTTATCAAATATTCTTCTCTTTTTATTGTTTCAAATCCAATTCAGATCATGTTGCTTCACATAGGTAGATTTTTAGATCTGAATTTGAGATTTAAATAAATGAACTCAAACATACATGTTTAAAATGAAATTTTGTAGTTTGTGCATTTCACTCATACACTTACAGCAACATGTAGAGAACATGGCTGTTCTCTAAAGCAGCAGTTAAGGCATATTAGCGTCATAGATCCTGTTTGCTGTATGTTGAATAGTAATTTTATGAGTTCAGTCCATATGAATAGTCATTTTATGATAAGAATCCATTATTTTTCAAAAATTGTGTGTTTGCTTTGCAGTGATGAATCTCAGCAGAAGAACTTGTACGACACTTTAAAAATAGAACACTATTTGGCATGGAGCTCAGTTTCTAGAGCTGGGCACAGAGTCATAGCACAGTTGCTCTCCTTCTGGGAGACCATACTGGACTTAGCATCTTACTAAATTTTAAAATTGCCCTGTGTTTTGTGGCTACAACAGAAAACAGCCATATGAATATTTACTGTAAAACTGAAATATGGTTTAAGTATGTAGAAATGTGAAAACAGCCATGTTAATATTTATAATCAGAACTTAATATAAAAGCAAAATATGATTATTATTATAAGTGATTAATAACTTAATACATATTCATAGACATACATGGATTTATATGGACTTCAGAAAGTTGAAAGGGAGAAGCTTTCAAATGCAGAATGAATCCCAATTAAACTTTTTAAACAAATCAACCTTAATTGAGTATATAGATTAGCACTCCCCAAAGGGTCTCAGAAGCAGTAAACTTGTAAATACATTATGTAACTTGTTAAAAGGAGAAGATGGCAGTTTTAAAATGGAAACACTCTGTTCTGTCCCTGCATTGTTGAATTTCATGGTGGCATAATCAGTGGAATGGCATGGTGCCATCCATGCAGATCTAGGAAGAAATAAGTACTGTACTGTGAAAGATGTCACCCCCTCGTGTCTAAAATCAGAGACTTAGTGTTACACAGGAAAAGAAGTGTACGGACAATTGACAGCATTATGAAAGTAATATGTACTGTCAGTTTTGAACTATAAGAAACTCACAAGAAGAGCCGGAATAGTGTCATACTTGTGATGTTTAAAAGAGTGGGGAGTGTAGGAGAGGTAGTTAATAGTTGAATTGCCTAGCATGAGTCAGCCTTTGATGGTGGGCCTATTAGAACAAAAATATTATGCAGTACATTAGTGGAATGGTTTATATATAGTTAGAAACAGTTTTATGCTAGTAAATGTTGACTTAAAATGTTAAGGCTTGCATATATAACATCCATGAAGAAAGTCTTTAAATCAGGTTTCTAAATATTCACTCACTTGATAACCTTTAGTAAGTAAGAATTCCTCTCAGGCAGTGAAAGTTGGAGTATCTGATTTTTCATTTCAGGCTCCCTCTGTGCCATTGACATGGGTATTTATGAGTTCTCATGCCACTAATATTTCAGGGCTTTATCAGGCTAGTTTTAGATAATAGTGTAGCTTATCTGACACTACTTATTTCACTGTATTATAAAGGGTAGAGGAATGCCTTATAATTGAATTTTAGGTTTCCGCATTTTATTTAAATGCTTCATCTCCACATTTTTTCTGCAGTTTTCTGAGAGGTAACTGAAAAGACAAAGAGATAAGCATGGGAAGTGATGTGGGAATGCATATTGAGGGTATATAGACAGTTTTGTTCATGTTTAGTATGTGACTACACATTAAAACTACATATGCTGAGTGTCCTTAACTCTACTATTGCTGCTGTATTTCTAAACATGGAAGCCAGTTCAAGGGCAATTTTTGTTGGTCTATGACTGTGATTAAAATATAAGCACTAACCATTCAGAAACCCCAGAACTCAATAGATCAATGGACCAAAGTAACCTTAATAGTAATGTCACATTCCCGCATGGCCCTTGCTTGTTTCGCCAAGGAAAGGTGCACGCTACGTGTCGTTCAGCTGCTACCAGTTGATTACATCAACTTTGTTCACTATTAATGACAAAGGTCTGGGGAACGTATCATTTAAAAACCAAGCAGAAATTGTTTATTGTTGCAAGTGATAAAAGTCTGGTCAATGTTGTTAACTCTCAACTCTTTTCTTCCAAACTCCTCTTAACTTTGCCCCCACCATCTCCTATTGATGCATGCAAATATCAACATAAATATTCATGAGCAGGTGAATGCTACAAGTAACTATTGATTCATGTAGATAACACTTTAAAAATACAATTCAGAGATTTACTAAGGTATTTGAATGTATCTTGCCATTCAAAACAATTTTAGTCATCATTCGTGAAACTTAAAATGTCTTTGCTTCAGCACCATATCAATTTAAAGGAAGAAATATATTAGCTACTAACAAAAACTAGAAACATCCCAAAGTTTCTGACAGTGTACAAACAAGGATATTTTCTAAGCTTATTTCACAGTACTTAATTATGTCAAACTTAGTCATACAAAAATGTTTATTTTTACTGAGTAGATACATTCAGTAAGCTTATTTCTAATTGACAGAAGCTGAAATTCTGTTGCATTGTTACACAAAATATGTAACATTCAGTTCATTCCTAGCTGACATTTAGAAAGCCACCACTTGGATTCTCAGGAGATACGTGCGCCTCGTGGCGCAGTGGTTAAAACACTGTACTGCAGCTAAAACTGTGCTCACAACCTGGGGCTCAAATCCCAGGTAGCTGGCTCAAGGTTGACTCAGCCTTCCATCCTTCCGAGGTCGGTAAAATGAGTACCCAGCTTGCGGGGGGGGGGGCAATGTGTAGCCTGTATAATTAAAAATTGTAAACCGCCCGGAGAGTGCTTGTAGTGCTATGGGGCGGTATATAAGTCCAATAAATAAATTTGTGTGTGCCCCCAGTACCTTGATATGCACTTGGGAATCCCATCAGAGACTCTTTAATTTTGGCTAGGAACAAACCAAATGTTGCTCCTTCTTTGTAGCAAAGCAGCAGTATTTCAACCAGGGTTTGCATTCTTATTATCTGCTCGCACTTTGTAAAAACAAAACAAATACAGTGGTGCCTCGCTTGACGATGTTAATTCATTCCAGCAAAATCGCTGTAGAGCGAAAACATCATCAAACGAAATAAAAAACCCATTGAAACACATTGAAAACCGTTCAGTGTGTTCCAATGAGCTGAATACCTGCTCATCCAGCGAAGATCCTCCATATGGCGGCCATTTTCAGTGCCTGTAAAGCAAGGAATCCATCCTAGAAAACAGCGGGGGGGCATTTTCTTCAGCCGGTGGCCATTTTGAAACCCAACGATCATAAAGCAAAAATCTGTTCCTGAAGCAGGGAACTGATCAACGTTAAACAAAAAAACCAATTTAAACCAACCTAATAGTACAGCGATTTCCTCGTTAAGCGAGGCAATTGTTAAGTGAGGCACCACTGTAAAGAGTTCAAAACAGTTTAGAACAGATTATATAATTCATTATCTAATTGTATGGAAATATCAAGCCCTTGCAAAATTTAAATTTCTACCATCACCAGACTTATAAGCCTCCTTTTGTAATGTCTGGGTAAGACTTCTTTTCAAGCAAAGAACTGAAGGTCAGGGTGCCAGTCCAGAATGGAACAATGATAATTATTTTGTACACAGTAGAGAATGAGTAATGTACATTGTATTTTAGGGCCAATGGATATCACTTTTAACTAGGCATAGTACAGATATTAAGGCCAATTCATGGTTTAGTCTTTAAAATGCCTCATGGGTTCACATGCTCTTTTATCTGTCCTTCCTTTGTGGGCAATGGTTTTCTTCCCCCTTGGTTTGCTTGCTGAAAAAACCTAGTCAAGCAAACCATAGTTATCACAAACCATAATTTACTTCCAAATCAGAGATACATTTTTCAGGTTGTATTGAGAACATTCTAGTTAGTGGTACTAATAGTCTGTTGATTTAATTTCTCTTTACCCAAATTTGATTGCACCTCTTAGGGAGTGACTTTTCAGAATAAGGGTGTGACTACATCAATGAATAATGTGGGAAATCCTCTGGATAAGGATAGTGTGATTCCCATTATTTTCTGTTGACTACATGATATACAAGTCAATATGAATCAGCACGATTTCCCCCCTCTAATCTGTACTTTTCCCATCTGCTGTTGGGGCTTCTACTTTTTAGAATCAAACACATTCACATTGGTTCAAATGGTGTGATTGCTTGAGCCAATGCAATGGGCAACCAGAAGCTGTTTCCCCCAGCTTCCTCACTTAAGATATGAGGAGAGAGAAAGCAAAGGGGACACACACTGAGGTATCAGTCCCCCTCAACTTAGCACCCCTTTTTTCTCCAAAGCATTTATTTATTAATGCTTAAAGGCTTGGTGCCACTGCTGGTGCACTAGAGCAGCTGGAGACCAAAGGAATAGAAGGTAAGCAAAGATGAAATTGGCAGCCAGCCCTTGTTTGGAGTTTGTTAAAATAGCTGTACAGTAGCCATGCCTCCTGCAAATCTGAATGGCTACATTAGAGCCTTCTTAATAAGATACTAACAATTTTACATTGGCAATTTCCTTTGCTCTCTTGGCTGTTTATTGCGTGATCCACTAAAACAAATTCAGCTGGGGGAACCCAGCCTCCCCAGTGCATGTTCATGGCCTTCTAAACTTTATTGAAGCTTTTGCTTTTTGTTCCATCTCGTAAAGCGGTCAATTAAAGTTGCTATCTGCAATTTATTTAATTATATTTTTTGTAGCCTCCCTGTTTTATGCTGGCTGCTGAGGAAGCAAAGTCTTGTTCTCTATAACTAGTATGGAAAGACATGTTAGGTTAATAGCAAGCTCATAGGTAAATGCCTTCTACCATGACAGAGGAGGGAGATAATGAGCCATCTCTCCTTCCTGAACTTTCTGTATTCTTGTGCTGGTGGTAGAGTAATGGGCTGTCTTTTCTCCAAAGGTAGTACAGCATCTAAGCAGGTTGCTGGCACCAAATAGACTGATTCTTCCCTTTTCCAGGAAATGCATACAGGTATCCTGCTCAACTGTCTGCATGCATTTCCTGGTTGCCTGGTTTATCAAGCAGGTTGGAAGTTATTAGACTGATCCAGAGCAATAGAACTTTATGTTGGATGTCTGTTGATTCTATAAGCTTTTGACAAAATTCAGTTGAGGATGCTTTAAAAAAGCACATACCATCATTATTCCTGGTTGGGGCCTTTGCAAACAAGATGATTACAGTGGTGCCCCGCATAGTGACGATAATCCGTTCCGAAAAAATCATCGCTATATGGATTCGTCACTATGCGGGGCAAAAAAGCCTATAGGAACGCATTAAAACACGTTTAATGTGTTCCTATGGGGAAAAAACTCACCTTTAAGCGAAAATCCTCCATCTGGCTGCCATTTTCGCTGCCCAGTAAGCGAGGAAAGGATGCGAAAACACTGTGGGCGGCCATTTTATTTACCCGGCGGCCATTTTGGAACCACCGATCAGCTGTGCGAAAACGGGGCATTTGCAATGATCGCTTCCGCACGATCATTGCAAACGCCTTGTTTTCACCCAGTTGATCGGTGGGGCTTCAGGATGATGGGGGAAGCGCTTTCCCCGATCATCCTGAAGCCTGCATATTCACCCAGCTGATCGGCAGGGCTTCGAGATGATGGGGGAAAGCGCTTCCCCCCCATCATCCTGAAGCCTGCATTTTCACCCAGCTGATCGGTGGGGCTTCGGGATGATGGGGGGAAGTGCTTCCCCGCGATCATCCCAAAGCCCCACCGATCAGCTGCGCGAAAATGGGGCGTATGGGGAAAAATCGCAAAGCGATATTTCCCCATAGTGAACATCGCAATGCAGTCGCAAAAGCGATTGCAAAATCTTCATCGCTATGCGGATTCGTCGTTAAATGGGGTGCCCATTAAGCAAGGCACCACTGTATGTTGTTTGGGTTTACCTGCCTTGGCTTGGAGACTTGCACTGTCAGTTGCTGTCAAAGGAGCAAGAATACGTTAACTCATTTATTCTCACCTTCCTTGGTGTCCAAGTATGTATATGAATGCTTTGAAGCTAGGCCTATATATCAGACAGAGTTGCTGAATGCAACTCTCCAGATGTTGTTGGTAAATCACATCAGCCCTAGTCATCATAGCCACTAATTGAGTTGCAATCCAACAATATCTGGAGGATCACATTTTCCCTACCTGCCCTATAGAGTTTAATCATTTATGTAGATGTGGTGACATTCTTGTTCATCAAGAAAACAATAAAGGTATCATACTGTGGTAAGCATACATTATATGTGTAATTATGTTTTTTTGTTCTTGCAGATAAAGATTTTCATCATGGCCATTACACAGTTCCGTCTGTTTAAAATCTGTACATGCTTGGTAGCAGTACTCTCTTTTTTTAAACGATTAATATGCAGGTAAATAGCAAACCTTGCAAGTGACTTAGGTTCAGTTGGAACTTTTCTCTTGAAGAAGCACATTTTGTCTTACTTTGTACAGAAGTAAATATTTTATTCCAAAGGTGTTAGTTCTTTTTATTGCTCTTTATAAATCGTTTTTATAATACTAACAATCTGAATATGCTCCTTGATTAGATAGTTTCTGATTTTAAAGCAGCTTTTGCATTTTCAATAAAATGGTTTATATGGAGTTGAGTTAAATCAGATGCTACTTAACATTTTTCTGTTAGCATGAAGTTATCTTAGAGAAGATAAGGTGTTTTCACTGAAACATATGTAAAGAATATTAGAAGCTCTGTAAAAAGTACATTTACCGTATAGGTTTTCTCCTTTTTTTGTTTACCACTATAACAATTATTATTATTATTTATTATTTATTTAATTTATATGCCACCCACTCTACCCAGAGGTCTATATGATCTATATGATGTACTATGACATACAGTATAAAAATTACTCTATATTAGGTATTATTTCTATTCATCTGGACAGTTTGCTAACTGTTGATTCTAGTAGTCTTTCTAGCACCAGTTTATAAAGGAAATGTATCTCTAGTGAGAAATATGTATGCAAATCAGGATTTCACTGCACAGGTAGTGGAAGTAGTGGCAGCTGTGAGTTAGATCAAGAATTGTTCAAAAGTAACTGCAAATCTTCCCTTCTTTATATTCTTGGAACCAGAATTTATTCTAGTATTTTATACCAGTGGTACTGGCCCTTCTGTATTTGCTAAATTTCCATTTAGCTTTTAACAATCATTTGAATCAACTTACTTAGTTTTATGTAGTAGTCATGGTTTCAGGAAAACCACTGCATTTCTTTTTTAGGACTGGAAGGGGGCGAAAACTTAGTGGAGACCAAATAACTTTACCAACTACTGTGGATTATTCTTCAGTTCCTAAACAGGTAATGTCTTTAATGTCCAGGATGCCAGTGTTTACACAGTAATCTGCCAGATGTCACAGTGTACTACAGACTATCAGTGACAAATGCCAGTTTGCAAGTTATCAGCTGAGGTTTTACTTGCTCTTTAGCCAGAAGTAGAAGATTGGACTTCGTGGGATGAAGATGCACCCACCAGTGTGAAGATTGAAGGTGGTAATGGCACTGTGGCCAATCAGCAAAATGGTTTGGAGGAAATGGAGCCTGACTACTTTAAGGACATGACACCAACAATACGGAAAACACAGAAAGTAAGTTTTCAGTGTTCTATGAAATCTTATGAAGTGGTCATTATGATTAAGCAGTAATAGTGTCTTAATTGCTCAAAAGTGGCTTCTACATGCAGTCAGCTCTGCTGGTTGTACAGTTGCCTTCTATAATGAGACAATCCAGAAGAGGGATACCTGTGTTATGTCATTATGCTCATTGACTGACTTGTTGCTTCACACTTAGAAGCACAGACAGCTGACTGCTTCTAAAGTCAAAGTTAGGTTGCTGCAAAAAAGAGTGGTCCTTTCCTTTTCTTACGGTGCATATTTAGATGATTTCTTGCCTCTTCTTGTAAGGATCAATATTGAGATATCAAGGGAAATGTTAGTGTTGTAAGATAAAGTTTGTCTTTTTAAAAAAAAAAGTTATAAAAATTTAACAGCCATACCTTGAGTAAAAATCTTTACTTGAATATATAGTTACTCTGTGAACGTAGGTTGTATAGATTGAATGAAGTACAGTGGTGCCTCGCATTACGATGTTAATTCATTCCAGCGAAATCGCTGTAGAACGAAAACATCGTAAAGCGAAATTAAAAAGCCCATAAAAATGCATTAAAACCTGTTTAATGCGTTCCGATGGGCTTAAAACTCACCGTCCAGCGAAGATCCTCCATAGGGCGGCCATTTTGCTGCCTGTCTTGCGAGGAATCCGTCCCTAAACACAGCAGGGAGCCATTTTATTCACCTGGCGGCCATTTTGTAACTGCCGATCAGCTGTTGGAAAATCGTCGTTTTGCGAAGAATCGGTTCCCAAAGCAGGGAACCGATCATCGCAAAGCGAAATTCCTCCATAGGAAACATCATTTTGCGATCGCAAAAAGTTCAACATAATGCGATTTTGTTGTTAAACGAAGCGATCGTAATGCGAGGCACCACTGTACTGCCATTTGAGATGTACACAGATTGATATGTTACCCTTCTTTTGATAGTTGCACTTGTGCTGAAACCCCATGTCATTCCATTCAGTGAGACATAACCTGCTGTATATAATTATGTTGCCAAACTGTTTTGCATCCCAGTATGAGTACAGTGTTTTCTGCTAGCACAGGTAGACTGTCATTGTGAATGAGATGCTACAATTGTCAGAAAGCATGTCCAAGAGAAATACATAAGGATATATTTTCCCATCATTAGCTAATACATCAAGAGGGTATAGTATGACTCAGTATTGCAGAATAACATTGACCTTGTTCAAAAATGAATTATCTCATGCTAAGTTTTGGAGTCAAGTGGTAGCCCCGCCCCCCGGCCATCTCTCTTGAGGATGCAAAGAGCAGATCAGGAAGCATCTTCATAGTTCTAAATAACTACAATCCTTTAGTATATCTAAACTTTGGAAACTGATTTGTTTAAACTCTACTTATTTGAGGCATATTAAGCTCAGCAACTATATTCAATCCTGGTCTACTTTAAGCTTAGCAAAACACTGTTTTCCCTCTTCAGATGTATTGGGGAACTATTATTAATAGTTGGAAGCAATTGCTTCTGCTTACAGACACAAAAAGATGTGGAGAGGAGACATATAAGTTCGATGGTTTTGCATCTAGAGGGAAACGATGACTTTCTGTTGCATCTGAAGCAAGATGTTGTATTGGAAGTATAAGTGGAGATGTGCAAGAGTGAGTCAAAGCTATTGTAAAGAGGTTGTCAAATACTTCATGGGCAGAGGCACCAGTTATTGTAAATCAAGTAAATGACCAATTGCCAATTCATTCTGTAAATTATGGTAGTGTTCCTTATAACTTGTTTTCTCTTCCATTTTTTTGTCAGATTATTATTAAAAAACGTGAACCCTTGAATTTTGGGAACCAAGATGGCAGTGCAGGGTTTTCTAGTAGATTAGCAGCTTCACAAGATGTCCCTTTTATTCATCAATCTGTAAGTATCTTCTTCATATTGATCACTTTCCATTTCTGTGTTCTTTTGGTGAATAAACTGTTACAATATTTTTTTGATAATTTTGAGATATCTGGTCTCTTGGCCTAGACTGCGTTTGAATTTTCATTTTAAAGAGTCTAGTCTGAAAATGTGAACAAGTGAAAAATTAATGATATGTAAAGGTGTCTCTAATAATTTTTGCCAATGGCAGATAGGCAAAATGGTTGCATTTCTTCACTCAAGTGGAAAGGCACTTCGGTGTCTCCCTGTAGAAAGATTTCCAGCATGGCTTCCTTTCTTGTTAATGTTCCTGTATAGCATTGTATTTAGCCCAGTTCCCTCAGTAACAATATCAGTTTGTCCAGTTCGTCATCAACAACTTCCTACTCATTGTACACTAGATTCATTCAGCACATTTTCCCTTTGCTTTCACAGTGCATACAAAAACTGAGAAGTGACTGAGACACCTGTGATTATTGGGTTGACCAGTTAACCACTGCAGACTTGGAGGGGAAGATGTTCACAAAGAGAGGACATTAGTTTCTTTAGAGTATAGTTTATGAGTGCAAGAATGCAAAAGAAGTTGTATATGCACATGGAAGGGGTTCTTGAAGGTGTTTCTGTTGATTAAGCTTTTCTACACCTGTTTTCCATATGTTTTTTCCCCCAGAGGTAGGTAGAGATAGAAGTTTAGAGTCAAATTTGCCTGAAAGAGAGATTTAATTGCTACCAACAGGGTAATGAACACTTAATATGGATTGATATATATATATATATTTAGCTTGAGCAAATGATTCAAGTGGCTGTTTGTAGATTGAAATCTTTTCTGCTTTCAGCCGGAATTGGGAGACTTGGAGACTTGGCAAGAAAATAGAAATGCTTGGGAAGAAGAGGAAGATGCCGCCTGGCAAGCAGAAGAAGTTCTGAGGTAACTTTTGTTGTTGTTTAGTCATTTAGTCGTGCCCGACTCTTCGTGACCCCATGGACCAAAGCACACCAGGCCCTCCTGTCTTCCACTGCCTTCCAAAGTTGGGTCAAATTCATGTTGGTCGCTTTGATGACACTGTCCAACCATCTCGTCCTCTGTCGTTCCCTTCTCCTCTTGCCTTCACATTTTCCCAACATCAAGGTCTTTTCCAAGGAGTCTTCTGTTCTCATGAGATGGCCAAAGTATTGGAACCTCAGGTTCAGGATCTGTCGTTCCAGTGAGCACTCAGGGTTGATTTCCTTTAGGTAACTTTACACATCCCTGTAACTGGCTGTTTTAAAAGAATTTGTCAGCTGGCAAGCATGGCTTTAGGTAGGATTTGCCGCCATTTGAATATAATGATAAATTGCGACAGCAAGCTTAGACAAGACTTAGCATAAAACATCCTCCATTCCTCTCAATTGCAAGCATTTTCTTCAAGTAGGTGGGAAGACTGGAAGGATTTCTTTCAGTTTATTAAAACTACGTAAACCAAATTTTGTCACAGTAAATTTTAGTTAAGAATAAGCACACCTTGTCCAGATGTGGATATAAGGCTAAATTGTAGTTAATCAAAACCAGAAGGAATGTTATTCAATCCCCTCAGACCTACATTGAGTGGAAGCAGGAGTATGCAAGACTGATGCTCACCTAATTATTCTTGTAACAGAATTATGGGAATAAGGAAACAATAAAATTGATGCTGGAATCATAACCATAAAATATTTCCGTTTAAAATACCCACAGACTTCTGCAAATTTAATTATGGAATGCTCTCCTTGGGGCTGCTCACTTGGCACCTAGCCTAATTAGTTTTAAATGCAAGTCTGAAACATTTTAATTCTTCTGAACATTTGATTGACTTTCAGCTGCTGTGTTTGCACTACTTTCTTGGTTCTGCTTTTAATTTGTCCATCTTATAGTATGTGCATGCCTCTGCATGCGCGTTTGTTAGTCACTTACAGCCTTGATTTTAAAAACAGGAGAAAGTTGTTTAAAGTGAAAATTTTAAAATAATCAGTGTGACTAAATAAAACAAATGAAAATTGGTTTGGGCTAGGCACTAGAGTATTAAGATCTCTCACCCACCTCTATCCTGAGCTACAGAGCTTTATAATTATACTTCCCTGTAGCTTACTATTATGAGTAATCAGTACAAGGATGCAAGGAATAAAGACTGAACTGTATCTAGCAGAAGCTGGGAATACAGAAAAGGACAGATGAGTTCTTATCCACACGGATGCACAGTGTTCAGTTAATCCTTCCACATGGAACTGGCAATTAAGAGATGGAAGCCAAATACTCAGTTGTGTTTACCTTTTTTATGATAGTCCAGGTTGCTAGTAAGAAACTGATTCTGGTGCTGCCAGTTTTCCATTGACATTGATAGCATAGAAACCCTTTCAAAGACTTATTCTCGGCTGCAGAACATAGATCTGAAGTATTGTCTGCCAGATTTGACATTAATGTGCTACATTTGCCGTGTAAGTCTGAAAGTCTGTTAATTGGCATTGTAAGTCATCTCTGCTCTTATGGTGCTCTCTTGTCTAAGCATTTGCCTTGCCTGATGATGCTAAGATGATGGTAGCCTTCTGATTATTATGGTGGGTGATGGTGGTCTTCTCATGATCTTATTCTTGCTTCAAGAATCTCAGATGTAAGTGGTCACCTCCTTTACTCATTTGTGATGTAAATTAGGCTCAGAGGGGAAGTCATAACTGGCTGGAAATTGAAACCAGATCTTTCAGAGTAAACCCTGCACTAACCACCAAACCACACTGGGTTTTTTTTGTTTTGTTTTGTTTTATTTTGTTTTGTTTTTGACTGATGTTCACCATCAGATGGGGTCAAGAGAGCTTCTTGGCAGTGGTGGGGGTACAGTGTTACAAAGGAAACATGTAGGATAAATTTCTCCAGTCAAATGCCTGTCTGCTTGAGAGGTAAGGCCATTCAGTTACTTGGGACTTACACTGAGAAAAGCAGGGAGGAGTGAATTGCAGGCTTAATACTCAATATGCATTGTTAAAGTAGTTGAAATAAGTTACAGTTTTTTTAAAATGAGTTTGCTTGTTCATTTTAATGTAGAACTGTGCAAATTGGTATCATACACTAGAAATTTTGAACCCATGATGCAATGCCTTGGCATTTCCAGCAGAGGGCTCAGTATGCAATTGAGATGGCTATGAAGATCCCTGATTAAAGAAAAATCTTTGTGTTTATTGAAGGTTACTGTTACTATTAATGCTAGATATTTCATGGGATTTTTAACTATATAATCAAAATAACAGGGATCCATTAAAAAATAAAATGTTAAAACAATTTTTCTACTGATTTTATTTTTTAAAATCCTCATCAGTTTTTTACCTACTTTTACATTTCCAAGACCCCATAATATCTTAGTGATGTGTTCTTGTTTACTAATGCATAGTATTATAAACAGTGCTCAATATTGGACCTGCATTGATTATTTTTCATCATAGGCCCATAGTTGGTTTGGTATTTTCCCAGATACGCAGTTAATGCATACGTCACTCTGTGTACTACGGAATCTTTACACAGTGCCTCCCCTTCCTCTCATCCATTTCTTCCGTCACGACTTCAGTTTGGTTGCTTATAAGCTTTGTAAAGCTGCTGACCATCAAACATAACTAGAGCTTGTAATAGTTGCTAAATTGAAGATGCTGTTGAGATGTATTCACATGTTAGCTAGACCCGGTCTGTGTACACAATAGAATGATACAGACTATCAGTGGGTGATCATATCCTTGGTTATTTACCTCTTTTAAAAACCCATTGGAAATAAGCAGCCATCCTTTGAAACTTTTCTGTCTGCTAACTTAGTTGTGTCTCTACAAAGAGAGCTGTATGTAGCATTTGGAACTGGAGTGCACTCTCTGTCGTTCAGAGTGTATTCTCCACATTTTTCTGCATATAGAAACCAGAAACTAGTGGGCAACATAGTCAAAGGTAGCATTAAAGCAGGAGCACCTGCATTGTTCATCAGCAGAGGGAAGCTGGATAACTGTATTCTACAAAATTTATGTGAGTAACTTTCCCCTTACCATCTTTATTTGTTGGGTACTAATTTTGAATTGTGGTGCTGGAAGAGGCTCTTGAGAGTCCCCTGGACTGCAAGGAGAACAAACCTATCCATTCTAAAGGAAATCAACCCTGAGTGCTCACTGGAAGGACAGATCGTGAAGCTGAGGCTCCAATACTTTGGCCATCTCATGAGAAGAGAAGACTCCCTGGAAAAGACCCTGATGTTAGGAAAGTGTGAAGGCAGGAAGAGAAGGGGACGACAGAGGATGAATTGGATGGACAGTGTCACCGAAGCAACCAACATGAATTTGACCCAACTCTGGGAGGCAGTGGAAGACAGGAGGGCCTGGTGTGCTCTGGTCCATGGGGTCACGAAGAGTCAGACAAGACTAAATGACTAAACAACAAAAAATTAGAAAGAGAATTTGTGCTTGTCATTGTATTAAAGGTAAGATGTATATTTTGTTGTTGTGTAGTCGTTAAATCATGTCTCAACTCTTCGTGACCCCATGGAACAGAGCACACCAGGCCCTCCTGTCTTCCACTGCATCCCGGATGTATATAGGCAGTCCATTGGAGTTTTTTTAAACATGTTTTTATTAATGGACACATTCAGTTTGCATGGGGTATTTGTGGGAATAAGGTGCTTATTTTTATATTAGGAGTGGGCAAAGTATAGTCCTCCAGATGTAGTCAAACTACAACTTCCTTCATCCTTAGCGAGCACAGTCAATAGTGAGAAAGCTGGAATTTGAGGTCCACCAATCTGGGATGGGCAACCTTTTTCCGCCTCTGTTTTTATACAGTCAAAATGCAGAAATGTTTTTGTGACTTTCGTTCTGTCCTAATATATATATTTGCCAAAATGTTGCATAGTATTCACCAAGCCATAACAGTTTATAGGCTGTACTGACGCATGAAGATTTTTAGTACTGTATTCACTGTACATTGTTAATTTTGTGGTGGCCTCTGAATATTTAGTAAACTAAAAATCAAGACTATCACATTCAGCTTTTAATATATCATCTTTATGTGTTTAGTGGCATCTCAACTGTTTCAATGGCTTAATTATCCCTTACAATAATTTACTTGAAGAATAATTGTAAATTAATTTCATGATCAAATGCTTTTTATCCTTTATCTGTGCTGTGACTTTAAATTGTTTAAGGCTTTTAGCTATGGAATTGTTCACTTGGTTATGGAAATCAGTCAGAAAGCTTTTACAATTAATATCTATTTCACAATATCTTCTTTGAGATCCAAATGTACTTCACATAAGCAGCTTTCCCCAGACTTCAGTTTTGAGGTATTTTTGGGCTACAAATTTAAGAAAGACAGACATCAGCAAACTTTATCATAACTAATCTCAATACTCTGAAACTAATGGCAACTTTCTGAAAATACAGTAGCCAAAGCAAGACAAGTCAGGAAGATATAGATATATATATATATGTATACAGACACAGACACAGACACAGACACAGACACAGACACACACACACACACACACACACAGAGAGAGAGAGAGAGAGAGAGAGAATATAGTAAAAGAAAAAAACCCTAAATGAAGTTTTCACATGCATTACCAGAACTGGCCACTAGATGACACGAGAGATTCTGCTGTGAATTCTTCAGTTTCTCTCACACACAAAAATTTGAGAAACATCTTTCAAAAAAGAATGTGATTTCTTATTTAATTTTTTATCTTCTATGAAATTGCAGGCAGCAGAAAATAGCAGAAAGGGAAAAAAGAGCAGCTGAGCAACAACGGAAAAAGATGGAGAAAGAAGCACAGCGGTTAATGAAGAAAGAGCAGAGTAAAATTGGTGTGAAGCTGTCTTAACGCCATTTGTGTGGGTTTCATCATGCTCGCAAGACAGGATAAAATTGAGCTTCTAAGGCACATGCATCATTTTGTATTGATCTCAGTATTTTTAGAACTCCTGCTCACAGCTTCATTTTAAAAGCCATCTTGGAAGAGACAGTTCTTCCATACAATATCTTCAACTGGGCAGCCCAAATAACAAAAGCATCATCCCACAAAGTTCCACCATGAAAGAACAGAGTTTCCTGCAGAAGCCCTATCCCAGTGCACTCCTGTTTCAAGAAGAGATGCTACTGCATAAACTCTTCATCTGCCTGTTTTGGCATTAAAGGGAAAAAAGGTGTAAATAATTGAATGATAGCAATCTACTCTATTGTCTATTATGCTTATTACTGGAAAGGTGTGTAATTAAATAATTTTAAAGAATATGCTGCTGCTCTGCTTTTTCTCATATTTACTTTTCATGCAATACATAGTACCCCATTATAAACTGTAGTGAAAGAGATGGAACTGACAAAAACATGCACTGGCCAGAATCCTGTTGTGTGATGTATGCCTGTGGAAGGGCAATGAAATCACTGGCAGGGGGCAATTATTGGTGATTAAAAACTTTCTAGTTCTGTCTTGCACCTTTTTAATTTTAAATTACCTTTTAAGGTAATCCCTTTCATCATGTGGGAGCTGCAGACTGTAGAAAGGGAAAGTTCTGGTAGAGATTATTGGTTATTAAAGACCTCTGCATGTCTTCCTGCAGCTCCCATCGTTTCCAAGCAATGGAGTTGCATGGGAGTTGGATAAGTACTTTTCCCCCTCAATTGTCAGATACCACCCCATGCTGGTCATCTTCCTTCTGCAGGTATAAAGTATACAACAGGATTTCAATCTTAAAAAACTGAACACCAGTCATGTGTATTTGTGCTTTGTGTGAGAAAATTAAGTGGCATTTTCACCTGACCTGATTTTCTAACATTTACATTCCAAAACTTCAGTGATCACAATGGCTGAACACAGAAACATTGTAGGAGTGTGGAGAACTTACTTTTAATACTCCTGACTTTATTTCTTCTGCACTTAAAGTCATGGACTTTTTGGTACCTTTCAATTCTCTACTTAAAAGTTCGGACTGCAATAGAGGTCATTTGCACTGCCCATAGATAAGCATTAGATGGCTGCTTGTGGTTTGCTTTCAAAGACCCCAGAACTTTCAGATGGCAACCCCTAGCATGTAGGCTGCTGATGCAGTTTAACACAAGAATGCCTATCTCTCAACCTTGACATTCAGGTTTTAGTTCAGTGTTCTATATGAATTATATGTGCAGTGAAAATCACAGAAGTGGCTATGGGAGGAGTACAAGTTATTATTTTATTAGTAGCAGTTATTTCATTTATATGCTGCATTTCTCCCAACAAGGCCAAAGTGGTTCACATTAAAATTCACGCAATTTAAAAACACAGTAAGTTAAATATTAAATTAAACAATATGTTTAAAATACAATTAAAATATTAAATCATGAAAACAAAAAATATTAAAATTATCTGCTAGGTTGAGCAACTGGACTTTACCACACAGCTGCAGTTTCCCTTGTGTGCATGGTAATATGATTAAGACATTAGCCTTAAGGTCCAAATCCCATGTGATACACAATTGTCTACCATCTCTATAACACTAGAGTAAATGTTTCATCCAGAGTGGCTTTCAGTTCTTTGCAAAGTCAAACTGATGTCTGGGACCAGGTGTGACTGCACTCACGAAGCACACCAAAGGGTGAACAAACTTTCCTAGTTACTTGAGAATTACTGAATCTATGCCAGTCATCCTAAACTTTGAAGTGTCAATATGGAAATATTGAGTTGTCATAGATCAGATTGAAGCAGGCCATCCCAAGGGCAGGGATGAATTACTCAGTATCTTAATTTAGCATACTGACCAATTCTTGGGCTATTAATCAAAGTCAAAGGCAGCTGTTTTGCATGGACTGTGTTTTCTCAGGGGTTCTGGCTTAGGAGTGTGTCATGACCCTACAATCTTTTTTGTTTGATCTGCCAGTGTTGGGTTGGAAACAAGAGTAAGGGTTGCCTCTTAGGATGTTTCAGGCCTGGCCCATATATTTTCTTTATTATGCAGAATAAATTGGAAATAACCTTGCTGGGATGGCTTGTCCATGTCATTGCTCTTATGTGTAGCATTTATCTTCTGACAGATCCTGCCCTTCCTCTGTAAGACATTTCAAGTAGTTGAGAACTACTATCGTACTTCCCCTCCATTCTTCTCCCCCTGCAAAGCTAAACATGCCCAGTTCTTTCAGTCTTTCCTCACAGGGCTTGATTTCTAGTCCCCTGATCATTCTTGGTGCCCTCCTCTGCACTTTTTCCAGTTTATCATCATTGTGCAAAACTGGACACAGTAATTTTTTTTTAAATACTGTATTGTGTCAATACTGTATTGTGTCATCTGCAAATTTGATGAGGGTTCCATACACACCCTCATCCAAGTTGTTGTTAAAAATGTTGAAGAGCATTGGACCCAGGACCGAGCCATGCAGTACCTCACTTGTTACCTTCTCCCAATTTGGGAAACAGCCATTCATAATCCTTCTGAGTATGATTCTGTAACCAATTACATATCCATCTAATAAGTTATTCTGTTCAGCCCACATCTAGTTAGCTCACTAATTAGAATATCATGGGACAATTTGTCAAAGGCTTTGCTGAAGCCAACATATTCCGTCTACATCAGGCTTGTCCAACCTGCGGCCCGAGGGCCGCATGTGGCCCAGTCAGCTCATAATGCGGTCCAGTGCAAGTTTTTATTTTTAAAGAAATTCCAAAGTTTCAAGTTACACTGCCGGCCCTTGCGGCTGGAATGTGGCCGGGGCATGTCACAACAGCAGAGGGAGAGAGAGGGAAGGAAGGAAGGAGGGGGAGGTGAGGGGACAGGGGGGCAGCGTGACTGCATTGCGCCATCCCCATCAATAGATGGACCCCCTCCTGGCCCCATAAAGCTGCCGGAGTCGAAGCTGGCAGCCTCTGCTGTCTGAGTTCGCAGCTGCCGTTAAGCGTGCTTGGAGTGGGGCTGCAGAGGACGGCTAGGGCTGCCCCCCATGCGGCCCAAACCAAATGTATGTGCGGCCCAAACCAATATCACATCTTCTAATGTGGCCCAGGGAAGGTGAAAGATTGGACACCCCTGGTCTACATCATTCCTACTGTCTACCAAGGAGGTTACCCAATCAATGCATGAGGTAGGATTAGCCAAGTTCAACCAAAACAAAGACACTGATTCAGTTTCAACATGCTTTAATTTGTGATTATAAAGTTTTTTTCTCTGTCTTAAAAGATCATTTAGCAAGGAAAAAAAATAAATTAGTACACCATACATTTAAAATATTCCTTCACACACTTGATTGACACTATTATGTTCCAAGTAAGACTTCCTTTAAGACTTAAAACAGATTTCATAAAATATATTCACAGCCATATTTATAAACAAGATTAATAACAAGATTCAAGACTCCCCTGCCCATCTACAATAACACGTTTTTATGCTTAGGTTTTTTTTTTTGGTTATGGTCCCCTGGTACACAGGATCAGTGGAATGCAGGGGTGATTACATTACTAAAGCGCCACTAAAAAGCACATACAGACAATACATGCCAGGATTATGTCAGCTGCCTTTGGAAGAATGAGCTTTCCCCTCACACCTGAAAACATTTGGTTATCACAATTCATATATCTGACAACAGAACAAGAAGTGCTGAGCATGCTTTTTTAAAATGCATTTATGTTTACACATAGTGGAAACAAAGTCTTCATGCCACCAATAGCTTTTTCTTCTTCAGTTTCAAACAATGATTATGTTTTTCAACTAAATATAGTGCAAATCAAACACTGAGAGCAAAATGGACAGGGCCACTACCGATACTGACACCATCTTTTTCATGGCCTTACTACACCCACCGAAACACAGCCTCTTGGCACACTCGTACAGGACAGTTGCATCTAGGGTCGGGTGTTGATGGGTACACGGCGGAGGGAATTCAGGGCTATCAGGCAGCAGCCTCGAAGTAATGATCCGAAACCGTAGATCGGATCCATTCCACCTCTCTGCGTACTGAGCATCCACATTACTGTTGGCACCATCGGGGCAGCTATACCCAAAAGGTCTACAAAGAGGTTGCTGCTCCAGTACCTTTTGCCAACGCTCCCTTCTGACGGCTTCCTTGCACCCTCAAACGTGTCAGCAGAACAGTCAATGAAATCCAGTTCTTTCATGACCCGATTTTCATAATGTCTAGAATCGACAGCCCCACATACTGATTCCATCGGGGATAAAAGGATAACGGAATTTGGATCACATGGAGTCAAATCTACAAGCAAGTCTGTTATGTTCTCTGGGCAAGGTGCATCTGATTCTTTCAAAGTTGGAGATGGGCTGATGGGGCAGCCATCTTGTGTTTTGAATATGTTCTGAATTAGCTGTTCCATGCCTGAGCTATACAGCAATACATCGGCCTGAATAGCTTGCTCCATTCCCACACTACGGTTGTCATCCTCTTCTTTGGCATTTGCTAGTTCTTTAACAAAATCCATGGGGCTTCCAGTAGAGCAAGTTGGGCAACTGAGTTCAGGTGTGCAGGCAATTGCTGTCTCTTCAAATATATCATTCCCATTAGCCACGTCATCGCTAAGCAGCACACCGCTGTCTGCCATATCCTCCAAGGAGTGGTCCTCTGTGAAGACACTGTCTGCCATTTTGGAATAGGATGTACTCAGAGTCAAGGATTTATCAGGAGATCCACACCCATACTCTAAGCTCCGATCCTCAGTACAAGAACCATTCTGGGCCATTTCCATACTCTGAAGCAAAGTCTCCAGTTTCTTGTTCTGGATGTTTATGTCCACAAAATACTTCTGAATCCCCTTGTCTTTCTCAGCCAAGCTGTTTTTCATAGTTTCAATGACCTGCTTGAGTTGTTGGATCTCTCTTCTTGCTTCCTTCAAGGCAAGTTGGGCCTCCACCCGATGACACTCTTCTTCAATCCAGTCTTCCCTCATACGTGCCAGCTGAGACTTCAATTCCTTGATTTCTGTTTCTCTGAGAGAAAAACAAAAACAAAACAAACAATTAAAAAATAAATAAATAAAGGAAAGCATTCATTCTAGTGAGCAAATCCTGCTCTCAACCAGGGAAAAGAACTCTGGCAAGTTGACCGGGTCACAGGAAGGCCCAGTTTCTTGTTTGTTCTAGCATTCTGGAGAGCAAATCCTCCTCTCAACCAGGCAAAAGAACTGTGGCAAGTTGACCAGGTCGCAGGAAGGCCCAGTTTCTTGTTTGTTCTAGACAAGATAAGGGTAACTTGTGGGTTAAAAATATCCGTAGGTAAGGAAAGAAATGTTTAAAAGCTATAGCCTCTTTCCCCCCACTCAAACTTGACACTAAATAGTTGCAGGTAACATAGATACAATGAGTTATTTCAAACATAATCTAATGAATAGTTACAACGTTGTAATGAGTAGTATTTTCTATTTACTCTCGGAAGTTACTTTGACTTTTTAGAAGCATTTGTACAAGATTTATTCAAGAATTCTCTTATCAATTTTAAAAGGCAAGCGGGAGTATTTATCTTTATTTATTTTTTTCATGTTTATAGTATCAGAACTGAACACTTGAGGGAGGTGGAGGGTAGTTCCCTGTGTCTTTTTAGTTTTGCTGGTAACATCAATGCAATGCATTAATAACATCCACACAATGAATTACTTTTTGCAAATGCATGTGAGGCAGGAGGTTAAGAGTGATAGCCCTCTCCCTGGAGTGCCGTCCCTCCTCCATACAGCAGTGAGGGACAGAGATGGAGGAGATAGGAGTAATACAAAAGTTGACCACTGAGGAGATTCAGGGGGAAACAGTGGGAATGGAAAGGAAGAAGAGATAGAGCAGCAGATATAAAGAGGGAGGAACAGTTGCCAACAGGTTGGGAGTGGATACGGATGGAAGATCCATGGACTGGGAAAGACTGAGAGTGCCCAAGGTGGAGGCAGATTATAGGAGAAGAAAGGAGACCCCTCCGAGTCCCTCGTACTGGGGAGAGGCAGAAGCGAGGGAGTGGAGGAGAAAACTAAGAGAAGAGAAAGAAAGAGTAGAGAGAGATAGGAGAGGCTGGAATGGAGGATGAATGAAATGAGGAAGAAGGGGTTCAGAGAGGACCATGGAAGCCCCCTCACCAGAAGGAGAAGGGGTCCAGGGAGGACCATGGAAGCCCCCTCACCAGAAGGAGGTCCTGTATGGGATGATGGCCAGGGCAGTATGATTTATGTAATATTTTGTATTATTTTATTGTTTATATTATATTGGAAGCCACCTAGAGTGGTCTTATAGGCCAGATGGGTAGGGTATAAATCAAATAAATAAATAAAATAAAACGAGACCGTGCTCCTGCTGTAAGGAGAAACGAGACAGACTATAAATCAGAACACTGTGGCCGATTGACCGGGTCCGTGGAACTCCGGGGAGAAAAACCCATTCCTGGACGATAAGTGGAAGCCCCTTCCTGACCTATTATCAGAAGGCAAAAGGCATTGGAATCATTTTTGGACACTGGTTACTTGTTGAACACCCCAATAAATATATCACCTGTTTCTAAACCACAAGAATCTCCGGATTTCTTTGAGTTGAGGAAGAAGCCTAAAGTCCAACCCTCACAATGCAGAAACAATAATGATAGTAAGGAAGAGCACACCAAGTCCCTTTTAAAAAAAATAACATTCCAAGATCTGCTTTCTCCTATACGATGCTTGCCCTCTCTGGTGGCCCTGTCTTGGTGGAATTCCTTCCCACTGCCAGGTTGGGTGGCTGTCATTAATTTTTAAAAAGCTATGAAGACTGGTTTATTTCAAACTGCATTTTATTAAATTGGTATCTTGAGGATTCATTTTATGATTATTTTAGATATGTTTGTCTAAGAATGCAGATTTTGTACTGCATTATTATATTATTCAAGTTGTGTTTCTTATCTATACACCAGCCCGTGGTGGTGTACAGCCCCTATGGGGGCTTTGGTGGTTTAGAAATCTGTTAATAAATAAGTAAATAATGCCCCTCCCTGAATCTTTCCCTATATTTTTTCTCCTGAACTACCTACTAATCTACAATAGCCTTTACCCACTGGATGCCCTCTTGATGTTTCCGACTGCCCCTTCTTCGTTGCAGTAGAGAAGCAGTGAGCAGAGGAGTAGTTAACTCTTTTTCTCACTTCTGTGGAGATTGGAAAGTTCTTTTTTAAAAAACAACAACAACACATAGTTACTAACTACCATTCCAAGACACTACCCCAAGTATCTTGTTACCATTACGGCTGCAGTTTTAAAAAGTAACCCCTTTTCTCTTCTTCAGAAGCGAAACATGTAAAGACCACAAGCCTGTTCTTTGAGGTACAAAACACAGAGCGAGGTCACACAAAATATAATTAAAGCAGTTACACCATGAAAAAAAGTTGCACTATTCCTTGTTACATTTCTCCTGAAATGGAATTTAGTTATGCCTTAATTACTAAAAAATTACTTCATTATTTTAAAAGGAATTTACTATAATTAACTTATATTTGAACCTTGTTACTTCCAAGCTCTGCGCACATACTTTGTCTTTCCTCACTCCTCCATTTCACACACTGAGACACGGCCCCTCCTCTCCAGAAATGTATTTTGACGGTTTGCACAGGATTCAAAGGCACTGTTTGAGAAGCATACAACTTGTATTTAGCAACCATGCACTGAATAGAGAACTTTCCCAATTAGCCATGACTGTTGGCCTCTGATCTCTATTTTAACTACAGATAGTTACCTCTCTTGAAGTCTGGTCTCAGATTCCTTCAGCCTCGTTTTCAGGTGCCTCACCGTCACTTCCTTTTGTTGCAGGGGAGTCAGGTACTGCTCTGGGCTAGGCGGTTTAACGCCATGATTCTCGCCACAAGAAGTGTATCTTGCTGACCGCCTGCAACAGAAAAACATCGTTCTATCTGCAGAGCTGGACTTGCACACTCATCACAGTACAGACAACAAATATAGGTGAAATTCCTGTGCGATCACTTTCCCTAAACTGCTATCCTCTCAGGTGTTGTAGACCAGTGGTCCCCAACCTTGGGCCTCCAGATGTTCTTGGACTACAACTCCCAGAAGCCTTCAAAACCATCTCTGCTGTCCAGGATTTCTGGGAGTTGAAGTCCAAGAACACCTGGAGTCCCAAGGTTGGGGACTACCGTTGTAGACTACAAGCCTGACCGTCTTTAGTAAGCATGGCCCAGCTGAAGAAATCTGGGGGCAGCATCAAGAAAGAAGTTTAATTAGGAAATTGGGTGGTGGAAACAAGAACTCTGTAAATTTTTACGTTGTAGACTACAAGCCTGACCGCCTTTAATAAGCATGGCCCAACTGAAGAAATCTGGGGGCAGACATCAAGAAAGAAGCTTAATTAGGAAATTGGATGGTGGAAACAAGAACTCTGTAAATTTTTAAAAATGATTTCCATATTTTTATCTTCTTTTACTTATGCTATTCTGTTGTTTAATGGCTAACCTATTATACTTATGGTTGCATGTAAAATCATTCTTGAACTCGTTCTAATATTGTCTTGATTGGCACTGCCAGTATGGATGTGCCATTTATTTTTTTTAATTCAAACTCCAAGAATTATCCAAGAATTCTCCAGCCAGAATTCTGGGAGTTCCAGGGCAACATCCATACTTACAGATACCTACATTTTGCTCATCTGGACTTAATACTGGATTGATGTATTCAAGTCCACACTTTTCATGTTTAAGGGAAAACATTTCTCAAAGATTAGGAGATATGTCATGAATTAACATCCATTCCACAGGGGATGGCATCTCAAATTACAAGAGGGGAGGGGATCCCTATGCTGCTGAGGGTAGCTGAGCTGCTACTTCAAGTGAGGACAAATGTTGTTAAAAGATGAACCTGGGAACCTGCCCTCTTGCTGTTAGGGGTAAGCCCAAGCCCCTGTCCATGTTATGAGAAACCAACCACCTCTTTAAAGCCACCAATTGGCTTTACTACAAGGTTGTGCTGGTGGCCTTCCACCAACATAATGGAA